TGGTTTACTCATTACCTATGGCCTCCATTGAGGTTAAGGAAAATGACATACGATACCCTTAAAACTTTTTTAAAATTGAGAAGTTGCCTGGTGATGGTAGTTTTTAACAAGCTGTTGTTTTCAAGGTATAATTTACTGTCCATTCAGTTGCCTAATGTTCTTCAGTTTGAGGATGCCATTAATGTGCAATTTTTCATTGAATTCTGCTTGGTACTCATGAAAATTTGAAGCTCTGTGTAAGACACTCTACCCCCTCCCCAGCATGTATTTGGTTACTATCTGGAATAACACTGTGCTTCCCAGCAATCTTAATTTAGATCTACAGCTAAAATAATATATATATCTATACTTATAATATAGATGATAATGTAAGATGTAAATATAACTCAGTAATGATCTATCTTAAGGTATTCAGCTTCTATGTGTAACCTAGATCAGACTATACAAACTTAATTAAAGGCATTTCTAAGAGCTATAAGCTGAGGTAAATGTAACAAATATCATGGTTCAGCAATGGTAATTAAAAATACAAACAAAAAATATAACTTCTGGTTAATTCTTCATAATTCTTCATTTCTTTTTACTGAAAAAATAAGAATGGACAATTAACATTTTTTTATTTTTTTGCATTATATATCAATTCACTATGTTTTTCAAAACTAAAGTGTTTTTTTTTTTTTAATATCTTAATTCAATTAGATATAATGGAGTAAACCCCTAAACTTTGATCTTCTGAAAGTTGCAAACTTTTTTAAATTATTTTCCAGTTTTAAATTGTTGTTTAATCAACTAAAAGCATATAAATTATCTGGAAATACAGCCAGTTTTTCACTGTGCAGGAACTTTCCTCATTGTTTATGAAGTTTGGGTTGATGATTTTTGTTTTTTTTTCTCTTCTGCATTTTGTGAGAATTTTGTTGGTTTTAATGCAGGCTTCTTTCTACATTCTTATGTTTTAAATTTTTTTTGTAGTTCTTTTTAGATTTTTTTTCCCAAAATGCAGATTAGAAGCAAATGCCCGTATCTACAAAGAAGCAACTTACAGATATCAAATTTTGTTAATGTAGGTACTGAATCGTGAAAATAAGTGAGCAAGAGTCCTAGTCACAGACTCACCATGTTTTGAGAAAAGGCGAGTAAGTGAAGCAGCTGGAAACGCAGGAGGTTGGACCCTTCTCTCCCCTTCCTCCTCATTCCAAGCCTTAGTCCTTAATGTCCAAGTTGAGGTGGGTTCCTCTACTAGAGGGGATTCAGGTCTGACTCCAGAATGCTGCTTTGTCTCATGTGGTTGCATACACTTATAAAGAAACCAGGAAATATGTTAGCACAGAACCTTATGTTTGGGCTGTCCAAAGGGCCTTATCTGCAAAGTAAAATGAAAAGTATCTCTACCAAATTAGTTCAGTTCTGTTGAATGGATGCAGTGAGTGTTTACCATCATGTTCACTAACAGGAATTGCTGCTGAAATCAGTCTGTTAAGACAGTTGTGTGCAAAGGAGGACAACTCTTGTCTGTTTCTGGATGAATCAGTATGTATCAAAATGCTGCCTCAGACCAAAATTTCATCTTTTCAAAATGCCTCTATCTTACTCTTACCTTAAACAAAAGGTTTTTATGAGTTGCCTTATTAATGCCCAGTAATGTTCTGCTAAGTCATTGGTAGATATATGTTGACTACACTGCTGCCTGAAAAAGGAGAGCTGTTATTTAATAAGGCAAGTTTCTCAGACCATAATCTGCATTCTGTTTTCTAATGAAAGCTGGCTCATGCATTTTTGCTTATATCCCTAACATATCTGCATCACTCTGAAAACAAGCACCAGTAAATGCCTATTCAAGCTTTTAGTAATCAGTCACCTGATTGTTAATAATTTCATTTTTTCATTGGTGAGGAGGCACTTAAGTCTAGCAGAGCTTTGTCTATTATTTTATTAAACTAAAAACCTAGATCAGTAGTACAATGTGAATTGAATAATTACTTGTTATCCAAATTCTGTGCTGTACTTTTCACGTGATATTGACATGGGCTACCTGATCACTTTGTGGAGTAGTAGAAGTAGAAATGCAGTTTAGTCATGTAATTTCTGTGGTACTCTCAGGACATAGACTGTATAATTGACTACAGACAGCGTAAAAGCCATCTTAGAGTTTCATCCAGTCCTAGTAATATGTGTGTAGTCCCATGGGCTGCATCTAAGGATCATGCTAATTTTATTAGCAACTCCTATTGCTTTAATTAAACTGTATAAATTCCCACCTGGTCACTGTTGTGCCAACACCTTTCCTTCAATTTTTATTTTAATGTATAGATAATCTGTGGTTTTGGAGTTCCATTCAGATTTCCTGAATTATCCATTGTGTTTTCCACATGATACAACACAATTTTTAGGGGTGAATAGGGTTTCAAATTGAGTTAATGGATTTAAGTGAACCTCTGGATCAAAGCAAAGACCTGTGTTTCTGAAGTTGGCCAGTTCTTTGTAGGAGCCAGGTATTCAAAACAACTTGCTGTCCGAAAGCACCAAGCTAAGCACATGCTGTTCAAAACACCTGCAAGCAAGCTCTGCATTAACATTTGCTGTGTATATGCCACAAAGCAGAGGGATGTGAATTCCTTAGTGGACTGTTAATTTACATGTTATACGCTTTCAAATATTTCCAAAAGCAAATGTGAAATGATTAGTAATCTGTTCATGTGCTCACAAAATGTTATTAGAAAAATGCCTTGGGCAGTATGTTATGTTGACTAAAATGGATAATTTTGTATTTTAAAACTAAAGCAACTTCTCCAGCCCCAAACAAATCTTAGGATCTGCCCAGAGCCCAGGCTTCCTGGTCACAGCAGTTCTCAAGGTGTATGTTGAACTGAGGGGGGAAAAGGCCAACACCACCTCCCCCACCAAGAGCCATGATCTAAGGTTTGCAGCAATTTTGAATCTTCAGAAAGCCTCACTGAAAGTCTTCTGTGGAGTCCTGCAGTTTAAACTGACTTACCTACGAAATCACCGTAAGGAGGTGATTCTGGCATTTACCATTCATTCTACCTATGTAGGTTTTAAAGTCTGCATGTTGCTCTGGAGAAATCAAACCTGGTTCTTCTTTTTACTTCTTCTGCATAATTTTCTGTCTTTAGCTCTGTGCAGTTCTGACAGACCCAAAGTCCTGGACAAAATATCTCATAGTCCTCAAGGACATGTTGAGGTTGTTCTTTCCTTTTTTTTTTTTCTTTCTTTCTTTTCTTTTTTTATTTGTATTTTTTTTTTAGTTAAAGTCCAAAAAGCAAGCTGTTTAATGACATTTGTCAATGTATCTCTTGCTTGAATAATGGTTTCCATGCCTCACAGATTCAAATATAACATGACACTTCCTCCTAAATGCCAATTATTCTGTCCAGAAGTGCTGTCCAGAAGTCTAATCCTCAGAGTTTCACACCAGATCCCCAGAATAAAGAATATGGGGCATTAAAATTGAATAAAAGCTGTTGTGCTATTAAGACTATACGAAAAGCCTATGCACTAGCTGAATATTGCCTGTATGGTTGCAACATACTTTCCAGCAATTTACATTTACAACTATGAAGTAATTGAATAAAGAAATGCATCATTATTTTCTTTTTTTAGCACATAGGCGAATTATTTTGCCAACATGTGAAGGGGTGTTCATATAACATCACGGTGCTTTGTGCTAGAGAAAAACAATTACAGTGAATAAGGTAGAATGGCTCTGTTATTGCAGTACATAAGACTTTGATTACATACTGCCAAGATTCATACCAGCCTAGTAGTTGTTGACAGATAAAGTAACAAAAATGAAACTCATTTATTTTTTCTTTATTGAGACCTCAAGGTAAAGCAAATTTTCAGTTCTTGTACTTACTACATTGAAGGAACAGAGACTGACAGTCAAAATGTGCCAGTCCAGAAATATAAATTAAACCTAGTTTCATATCAAAGTTTCATTTAGTCTCTGAAAAGGAGCTGCTGCTTGGATTGTTTTTGATCAGAAAACAAATACACTGCAGATTACTATAGTGTACCTTGGATGAATTAACCCCCTTGTACTTTTAGTTCTTATGTATTTTCCAGGGTATAGATCTGTGTCTATCTAAGCAATTTTAAAATTTGTTATGGACTTAATTATTTCACTTTTAATCTCTTCAGTGATAATTTACTGTGTTTACAAACCAAATGAACATGAGGATGTCTTTAATGAAGTGTAGCACTTTTGCTGAAGGAAGGATACCTTTTGAGGAAAAAGCTCTCCCTCCTTCCTTGTGTAAAGAAAATTATTTTGGCTTTTACAGAGAGTTCCTCTAGGCAACTAGAATGCTGCATTATTCCTTTATAAGTCTAACAAACTACTTTTGTTTGTAAACTTGATTAGCTTCTAAAGAGCAGATAAAACTAGTTGTTGAAATAGAAGTGCTAAAATGAGTGGCTTTATCCCATCAAAATCATCTTGTAGTTACCTAGCCCAACTGAACATAATTACTGTTCAGATTAATGAGGCAGTATTGTAGTATCTCCTCTGTAATTAAACACTTCTATGGTTGAATACAGTATTAAAGATGCACCAGACGTTGAAACCTCAGTGGTGAAATTTAAAACTGTTGAAATTGGAGGGGTCAGCTGTGAAACACAAATTCCTCTGCAGCATGATAATTCACTTGTACAACGTGTTTCAAGAAAAATTTGGCTTACGTTGGGGATGCTGCATTTCTTTAAGTTTTCTTATCATTCTATCATCTAAATTTGAGAATTTTTCTCATTAGTTCCTGAGCAAAGTAACATAAAGTGCACTTGTTTCCAGAATTACCTTTTCTGACCTTTCACAAGATGATAATTGCAGTACCAGTAGGCTTAGAGGACCTGTTTAAAAAAATTAAGCTTATAAAGTAGCAAAAAATGCCCCTTTACTTGCTGGTGTCGATTTCAAAATTAACATTTTGGTTCATGTGCTTCTAATAATCGCTGACCCTTACTTCATGTGCTTTCCACAGGAAATGAATACAGCAGAAATTACTTTGACCTGTTGATGGATGAGGAAATAAACCCAAGGCAGTGTGGGATGGAGGTCAGTGAAGAAGGTGAGGCAGAATTAAGTATGTAATTTTGGTGTCAGAATATTCTTTTCCATTCATGAAAATGAGGTGACAAAGATCACATATGCAGTTCTATTTAAATATTGAGGTTTACAATTTAAATTATAAGCCTTAACCGCTCTAAACAGGATAGGCAGTATACATAGTCTTTGATCAAGGACAGTGAGTTAATGGACGGGTAAAAGTGAGGCTGTGCTGTGTTCACTTCATTACCATAGCAAAATGAAGCTCGCTGAGAGAACATTGTCTGCACCATGTTCTCTTTAATTAACGAAGTTAGGCCAGAGCTGAGTACTAAGCTGTAGCTTTTTTGCAACCCAGCTCCCAAAGTCCTCCTTAAAGAACAGTTTTTGTACTCCCCTGAAAGTGTGTTTGCCTAACAGAAGGAAACCTCAGAGTCTGTAACAGTTCCAAGCAGATGAGGAGGCTTTTTTAGATTCTTTTTGCCAGTTTAGCAGAGATGTTTAGCTTTGCTGTCTGTGAGCGATAGTGAGGAGTGGAGGGTGTGACTTTGCTGAGCTGGGAGAAGTTATGCATAGGTATGAGAAAGATTAACCAGGAGGTATTGTCTAACGGAGGAAATTCTTTCGCTGTCATGGCTTTCAGATAAAAAAGCGGGTGGGAACGGGCCTGCCTGAATTTGCATGGACTTAAGTAAGAACATCATCGCTGTAATGAAGTGCTTAGCTACGCACTGAATGCTTTGGCCCAGATTCTTTTGTTAAGCTCTAACAACCTGATAGCACGCAAGACCCAGACTTCCTCTGTTACTTTCATAGGGCTTAAATTTTTTAAACCTTGTGCTATTTATACTGCAGAAATTCTTGAGACACACAGTTGTAAGTCATTGCTAAAGAAACTTGTCTAGTGTAAAGGGTCTCTGGAAACCATGAGAAACTTTGAGTAGGTACAGAAGTTTAAACTTTTGAGGTAGAAACTTGTGTGACTGAGAAAAATAGGCTCTGATGCACATCAGTAACTTAAATTTCTGTGTTCTGAATAAATAAAAAAAAAAAAACCAGGGTTTATCAAGAGTGAATTACAACTAACTCCTAACCCCTATATTTCCCAATTTTCTACATAGGGCAGCAATGAAGCCAACTTCTGGCTCAGAGTGTTTAAATAAAAGATTTTTTTTCCTGTTGGTACTGCCTTGCTTCATCTTATGAATAGACTTCATTGAGTCATGATCTGCTTCATAAGCAGAGAATGAAAAGCAGATTAGATTTCTGTAACTACACGTGTGCTTAAAAACATGTACAGATAGAGTGGTGACACAAGGGATATAGGGAAGTACAATTTTCTGTGGGAGAAGGTGTTCTTTTGTCTGTGTTGAAGGGGTGCGATACATAGTTAACCTTATTTTTTATTATTTTATATATATATGCATATTTTTATTTAGAACACCTGAAGGCTCTGAAAAAGTCCATAACACTATCCATTTCTGGGAGTGGGGTTGGAGAGGGGTTTTTAGGCACTTGCCTAAAGGCTAGACATGAGATCCAGATGTGAAAAGCTGTCCTTTGGTGTTTCTCTTTTTTCTCCCCAGCAAAACTGTCACCCAAAGGTTGGGGTAGCACTTGCTTATTAAAGGTCTGTTAGCAATGGTGCTGGCCTCAGTTTGGTTGTGTTGAAATCTGCAGAGCAGTTGTAATGTTATATTTTCCCAAAAGAGCTAGATTTCTCTGCCAAAAGCAAAGCTTCGACCTTGGAGATATGCAAAAGCTGTCTGGACATGGTCCTGGGCAACTTGGCTGTAGGTAGCTCTTTTTGACTGTGGAGGTTGCACCAGATGACTTCCAGAGGTCCCTTCCCACCTCAACCAGTCTGATTAAGTGATACTCACAAACCAGGCTCATAATTTGGTTTCCATTCCTTTACAGAAGTGTTAAATAAATGGAACTACATTTGTATGTAGTGGACGGAGTTAAAAGTGTAGTCAGAACTGATGTCTGGTCCTACGTGTTCATCTCCTGATTGGAAACTGTATTTGTTTACTTCTTTTTTCCCAGCTAGCAGCTTGTCATTAATGAGACAAAATCAGAACAAGATGGAGAAATCAGGGCACACTTCGAAGTTACCATCTTCTTATGACTTATGCAAGTCAGGCCCAATGCCCAAAGAGATTAGGTGGTGAAAAGAAAATCTTCAGCCACTAACTCCATTATACAAAGTTAAATATAATTTTAATGTGTTCATCATATAGGATTCTATAATGGGTTATTCTGTGGGATTGAAGATATTGACAATTATCTTTTCTATATTTGATAAATAAAATTTATTCTGGAAATTTGAGTTAATAATGCCCTGACAGCAAACACCGCCTCACTATGAATTTGCTTCCCCCCATCATCAAGGGAACATTTCCATGCTATATGCTCAAAGAAACGTAAAAAGATTCTGTACTTGCAGAAGAGATTTGCAAAAACCTCTCTCTCTGAATGTTCAGCATAACTGGAACACTCAGCTTTGAAATTTCAGGGTAAAGAAAACTCATTCTTTGATATTGTATCAGGCACTTAAAAAGAGCCACACAGGGTTGCTTGTAGCTGTATTTCAATTCACCTACCATGTGTGCGTTTCTCTATCCTACTTGCCTGTCTCCACTGACAACTTAGAGAAGCCAGGTTCTGGGAGATCTGAACAGTCTCAACTGATCATTTCTCCCTTGAATATACACACTTGAAGTGATTTTCTAGGTGTCATGGATGAAGGTATGTGTCTATGTGTCCCTTGTTCCTTTTTAAAATCTGTAGATGTTACTGGGAATTTGAATGACTGACCAGCCATGAATCTAAAATTCGTAGCATTCTGTAATGACTACTCATACTAGAGAGTGTGTTAGTATTATGGACAGCTAGGTAAAATTTCTAATAGAGATCCAGAATCACGTTAAAGAAGAAATTAGGTACCTTGACTTTTATTAAGAGTCAAACGGAATTCATCTGGTAATTTGAATATAAATTATAATTTCACTAGTCTATTAGCACATTAGTAAACCATTTTCAGTTCAGATCCAGTTATTCCTCACCATTTAAAAATATATGATTATATTTTTTTATTTTAAACTGTTTTTCAGGACTAGGAAGAAAATGACAGTCACCTCTGATGAAGCTATCACTGTGAAAACTGTTTTAAAGCGTCAAACGGTTTACTAGGTTTTGTGCTTTTATAATAAAAAATAAAAGTTAAAACAGTGTTTCTTCAAATACTACTGGAAGAAACAATAGATAATTTTCTGTTCTTTTGGTTTTTATTTTAAGATCCTGTGAAATTTGATGAGCAAATCCTTTATGGTAAATTGATGAAGCTTCTAGATGAAGAAAACATAACATTGGACTTACAAGGTAAATAACAAACATTTGCATAAAGAAAACTAAAACTCTTGAGTCTGGATGTGGGAGGAGAGTGAGTAATCTATCCCATTGAACTCAGAACCAAAAGGGACATTGGTTTTAATGTGAGCCTGTAAGATCTTTTTTGCCCAAATGTTTTTGTTTTGAGTCATGTTGATGTGGTTTTAAGTATCACTTAAGTGAGTGCTTTCTCTAGGCTACTTAATTGCATGTTGAATTCCACTCTTATGAAAGAAGACTGGAAATATCATTGCTAATGTGCTCAAAGCTAGAAATCTAAATTATTATTTAAGTTCATGAATGATTGGATCATTTGTCAGATGCACGGGTCACATCACGCACTGTTTGAGGTTATCTACTTGAGGATACACGAACAGGTAAGAAAATGTTTTCTGTGGCTTTGTTATAAAATACTAATTGATGTTGCATCTGCATTAAAAACAACAAAGTGTGAGAGAAGAGATTTCTTTACCTCAAGCCAACAGCCTTACTTTGGATTCACTTATTTTTACAGGCATTATTTAACACCCAGCTGATTCATGAGACTGTCTCCACCACAGCCTTTAGAAAAGACGCATGTCTGCTGGTCTCCTCTGGTTCATCCTAGGAGAAGTAACATATGAACAAGCCCTGGCTCAGTGATGCACTTATATTTTTGTGCTCCCAGCCCTCCTTTTTCAGCAGGTCTTTGGTGCAAATGTATTTTCTGGGTTGCTTTTTATTTTTTTTTTAAATCTGTATGAGGTTTCCTGTTATATTTCAGTTATGTTCAGGACCTACTCTGTCAGAGAGACAGAGTGAACAGTTGCCTACAGCACTGGAGCTCCAGAAGCTGCAACATGGTTTATAACTATTTAGTTTGTGAGCAACTTTATTCTAGAAGTGACAAATATTTTCATTCACATAGGATTGCAAAATCCCTTGAACTGGCACTGGTCACGTCAGTACTGTCTTTGAAACCTGTTTTGCCTCATTTTAAATGCAAGGAATAAAAAAAGTACAACCATCACCAAATTCCCAGCTAAATTCATGCAGATACCTTAAGCAAAATTCTTTAAATAATTATTAGCAAGCTCTCTATTTTTGTATGTTATGTTAAAGCTCGATGCTGCTGAGAGAGATTATAGCAATGCTGTTTTTATCCTGCAACAACATAGATTAAAATAAAATCTTGTTTGGCTGTGAAGTCAACCTTAGTTCTATAGGAAAGATTGACATGGGGTGTCTATCTGAGCTACTTATGTAATCCCTGTTTACCAATATTTATGGCATTTCATATTCCTTAATGACCCTGTATGATGAAGGGAAATGTTGTGATGTCATTTTACAGGCTGCCCCAGGGTGGGGTCTAGTCCTTTTTCCATTAGCTTTCTGAGAGATAGCTTCCGTGGCCCTCTCAAAGTGGTGAAGGGAGAAGCGCCTCTGGATAGTGGTTCAGTCCACCTCATGCAGACACCTCTTAGCTGATTAGACAAATTGTGCCCTGGAAGCAGTTCTTCTCTTTCCTTTGGGTCTAGAAGGCTCTTGGATAGTTCACTTAGACTTGTCTGTCCTTTTTGCGTGGCTAAAAGCAAGTGAGATAAATTGTACCATGAGTACTTGTCTATTTGTAAGCAAGGGAACAGGGAATAAAGAGAAAGCCTTCCCCGTATATCAGTGCTTACTCTTTCCTCCAGTTAGGTGCCCTAAAACTTCATCTTACATTAAAAATAACATTAATGAACATTGTTAAGATGAACAAACAGATGCTTTACAGAGGATAATAGAAAATAACATATTTAGAGAGGAATCTGGTTTAACGGATCTCCTCAAATGTTTATAATATAAACTCACCAGGTATGTTTAAACTAAAAATGTCTTTTTCTCCAACTGGTTTTATCAAACCCCCATGAAAGGCAGAATGCTCTTATTACTGTTAAGCTATGTGGATGAAAGGCATCCAAAGCCATTTGAACATACATAGTGCACTCTGTGGATGGTGATCTTGTGCTGAGGCTGCCAAGGTTGCTGAGTTGCTAGCTCACCGATCCAATTCAAGGGCAAGCAAATGCATTAACACATATGTCTTGATTCCAGGTACATGTCAGAGCCCCCCATGTAGGTATGAAGGCAGTGAGTATGGAGACACGTCAGACTGCAGCTGTCTTGTGTCTTGGGCCTCAGTGCTTTTATTTCTTAAAAGTGTCACAATGGTTATCAGTGCCACAATGGTCCTATGGGTGAATATTACGCCCTGTCCTACCTGAATTTTTCACTCATCTTGGCTTGGGTGAATAAAACCAAGAAAAAAGCAAGATTTTTCCTGAGAAAGTGAGGCTTGTGCAGTCTCTACCTCTGTGTGTGTATATCAGGCTGTATTTATTTCTACCTGTGTTTCTCCCTCCCAATTTTTGAACCTGTTGTTCACTTCCAATGCCCTTGTTGGTTTTTTTTAACAGAGAACAAGTCTCACAGGTCTGACATCCCTACCAGTTCTATGAAAGTGGGCAGCTGAACAGAGCAGACAAGCATTATTAATGTCTCCACTGAGGGAAAGCTAATATGGGAGTTTGGCCCTTATTAGACATCAGAAAATCCATAGAAAACTAGGATTCATTTGGTTCCACTCTTACAGAACTGCTTCTTTTCTTCATTTGACCACTGAGCTGAAAAATCACGTAGTCATACAGTCCTAATTAATAGATCATCCCCAAAGGAAAGAAAAGAACACGGCTCAGAATTTATATAATTGCATATTTAAAGCATTTTGCTGCTGAGTAACCTGTTGGTCACTCTTGTGTTATGTGTTAGTTCATATTATACAGCAACTTAAAAGGCAACAGTGCTTTTTTAGAGAAGATGTAGACCAAACGTCTCTCAAACAATGTAAGATTGTGATCCATGTGCCATCTAAAGTGATGCTAGATGAATATAATTAAAAATGTTTTCTATTATATTACTTCCTGGTAACAACTGAAAAATTGAAGTGCTATGGTTTGCACCATTTTAGTTGTCTGAAACTGATGTGTGAGCCTTTGGTGATGTTTTTTTTTTTACTACAATTTATACAGAGTCTTTGAGAACAAAGCAGCCAAAGTGCATTTTACATGTGGAGTTTATAGCTACTTTATGCATTCAAACCCATGCTGGTGAACCTACCCTTTAAATTCTCATTTTATCATATTAAACCATTACTGTCTGATGGACAAATGCAGGAGTAAATGAAGATACAAGCAGCCAAGTTAATACCGGAGAGATTCTTTTAATTACAGCACAGCATCTGCAAATACAGCTTGTGCTAAGAAGTGATTTAAACTACGCAGAAGTATGACTCGCAGTGTTAAGTACAGCTGAGGCAATGAAAAGTTTGAGGCAGATGCTAACAACTTAAAGCTGCCGATTTTTTATTAGGTTATCGGTCTACCAATGAATTTCCTCTTAAATTTTCAGCCATTTGTCCCATGTGTACAGAGTAGTAATATTTTTAACACAATGGCTACTTTTGTACAGCAAGGAGGTGGAGGCTAAGTTTTGGTCAAGAACTGCTCCAGGGTGGCAGCTCAAGCCTCTAACTTGTGTGTCAGTTCAGACAAGGAGCAAAATGGCTGTGACAAGAGTTTCAGAGGTTTCTTTGTAAAGCCAGTGCAGAAGCAATAAACCAGCTAAACAGCCCTTTACCGTTCCTCTAGCTTTCCAGTATCTGAAGGGAGCCTATAAGGATGCTGGGGGAGGGACTCTTCATTGGGGACTGTAGTGATAGGACAAGGGGTAACGGGCTAAAACTTAAACAGGGGAAGTTTAGATTGGATATAAAGAAGAAGTTCTTTACTGTGAGGGAGGTGAGGCACTGGAATGGGTTGCCCAAGGAAGCTGTGAATGCTCCATCCCTGGCAGTGCTCAAGGCCAGGTTGGACAGAGCCTTGGGTGACATGGTTTAGTGTGAGGTGTCCCTGGCCATGGCAGCAGGGTTGGAACTTGATGATCTTAAGGTCCTTTCCAACCCTAACTATTCTATGATTCTATGATTCTATCTTCCCCGTCTTTAGCTCATTCAAAAATGAACAATTTGCCAATTGTGCTTAAATGAGCATATGTATCTTTTTGTCAAATATTTATAAAATTTGAATCATAACTTCTCTGTGTTTTTAGCAGTTATTTCCCTTGAAAAGTTTTTTTGAAAATGCTCTTTCTCTTCTTTTGCTCTTTTTCCACAAAACATGTGCTAATGATCCCAGTGTCTTCCACCAAAACTGGGTTAACTTGATCTGATTCCTCACAGAAATAATAAATGCAAAAAAGAAAAAGGATATTTTGATGAATCACTGCATGGTCACCTTTGTGAACCAAATGTTTTAACTCTTTTTTTTGACATATAATGAATATCTCTCTATGCCCAGGATAGGAATTTGCAGTCTTCCTAGGATGTAAACTTGCACTGCTCCTGTGAAATCAGTAAGCATCTGATTTATACCAGCTGAGCATATGGCCTGTTGTGTGCAACACAGCACTGAGTGGGAACAAGTGGTGCTGCATCTCCTGCTATTGGCAATGTTTCATTTTCCAGCACTTCCTGGATTTTCTCTCTGCTAGCCAAACCCTTAATCTTACAGTAAATTTAAATGTAAATATTGTTTTGTTTTTGCAGTTAATAGTTGTAGGTCAAATCACTTTTCATTAGGCTTGTAAAAAGCTACATGAAGAGATTGTGTACCCTCAGGTAATGGTTTGGGTTGTTTATATCTACTGTACACTTCCCCCAACATGATTTTGAATTGTATCCTGTTGTAATTAAATAAAAGAAACACCCTACTTCCTGTGTGTTGGTGGCACTGAGGTGATTTAAGTACTCAGGAGGCTCAACAATTAAAGTCATTAAACAATGAGTAGTGAGCAAAACTGAAAATGTTAATAGCCTTAGTTTTATCTTTCCTTTTCTGGTCTTCATTAGAGAATGAGAGACTTCAAAGGGAAGTGAGGAAAAAAAATATCTTTTAACTGCTTTCATGTTTTAGGATGGACAAAGAGAAAAGCAAATAACTTGATATGGCAGTTTCTTTCAGAAAAAGGCACAGAGAACTATAAAAACTAGCACAGAAATATAAGGCAAGGAATGTGGACAACCAGTCCCCATTCCAGGACAAAAGTCAGATGTGCACAACCTGATATCTGTAATTTCTTAGTGACCCTAATGTGGAGAAATAAGCAAAAAGTAGATGTCCATTATCTATGACCCAAACTAGTAGTAGTTTTGTAACAGATATCAATGAGAAGATCAATTTTTTTTTTTCCTTAATGTATCATGAAGAATTAAACTGAAAAAAAGGATACAGCTTCTCTTTAAGATTAACTTTATGAATGGGTTTTCTTTTTGTTTACGTACAGCATGTACCCTTTGGTTCTGCATAAGTCACTGCAATGAAATCAGGGGAATGGTGTGGGTGAGAGCAGAACTGGACCTAATTAATTAAGCAGGAGCTGAGTGCACATACCTAGAGGAGGAATCTGATCCTCTAGGGTGAGTGTAAGGAAAATGAAATGTTCACTGTAGCTCCACCTAAAACTCTTTTCAGTTGCAGCTATTCCTCCTCTTCCGCAGGAGAGAAAGGCAAAAGTTGTTCTAAATCCCAATTCCTCTAAGACTTACAGGGGAGCAACGTGACCATGGAAATGCAGAACACCCTTTTAAAAACTATTTAAAGAACAAGCTGCATGTGCTAAATCTGTACCTGTATGTAGGTGCTCCCCTTGAGGACAGTTTTTCTGGTAATGGCACTTGAAACCCCCCAGTTGTTCTACCACTGTTATTTATTCCTGTTCATTGCATGGCATGAATGTTTTAAAATGTTGATGGGCCAAACCTGCTAACTGAGAAGGTACTAGCCAGTGAATGAACTCCCATTTGCTAAGAGATAATCTGCCACTTTTGTTTCAAACAGCCAGTGTTGCCAGTGAGGATTTTCCAGACTCCGTGATGCCTGTCAGCTCCAGTAAAGCACATGACCTTCACAGGGAGCTTGAAGATGAAGAGATTCCTTCATATATCGAACAATTTGAGAGAGATGTTCAGGATGACATAATTCTGCTTGGCAGCTTTTCACTGGAACAGGTCAGATTTAAGAAGTATAAGACAATTTTATCTCTTGCTTCATAACATGATGCTGGCTTGTTAACCTTGTACACTCCAATTCTATTTCGCTGCCTGGCAATACACATATTGAAAGGGGAAAAGATAAACCCTGTCCCTGGCTTGCAATATATGACTGGCACTTTGCTAAGCTAACAACAGGGCCTTTATCTTTGTCTCCATTTCAATGTGCATAAAAATAGATTGCCTTCATTGCTTAAATAGTGGAGTATCTCTGACTGCTCCATAGTAAGTATTGCAATTGAGTTTCAATCAAGTGCCTAAACTTAGGACATCTCTCTGTGACAAATTTAACAGAAGCTTATTCATCTACCAGTGAGAAAGTTCAGATTGGAGCCCAGGAAGGATTTATGTAGCATATTCATTGTACAGAGGATAAGATTATTACCAAATTATAAATCTGTGGTGTTTTTTGTGGTTACAAAGCTTCTTTTGGTTTTCCTTTTGTCATTTCATAGTGTAAAGGGACAATGTGAGGCTCATATTGACAAAAGCACAAGTTTTCAGGGCTGAAATGATACTTGTGGGCACCTAACTATCATTTGTCCCTTTGAAAAATCTCATACCATGAATAGGGGACAGAAAGGGAGATTAATTGATGAATCTATCATTTTTAATTAGCAACATGAGAACAGTGAACTGGCTCCGATGGGCTTAAAATAGGTTATCCAATGACTGGATGGTGATCTAAGCTTTCTTTTATTTTCAAAGGGAATTTTTAGAATTTTTTCACTGTAGGACTAAACCTCATCGTTGCTGTCTGCATATTGGCGAGGGACTCAATTCACTTCCTTGCTGCTTTGCTCTAAATCCTTGTGTAGTTGTATGTCATTCTTTCTGACTTTTTTGTAGCTGTATGCGCCATGTGCAGAAGGTGACTTGGGGGATATTTTTCAGAGAACATGAAATGGGAGAGAAACATGAGGGAAAAGGCCTTGAATAGTATGAAGAGCATCATCTGGCTGAGGGGACTAGTGGAGTAGGAACCTGGGAACAGGTGAAGAGGAAGAGCTGCACCTTTCTAGAAGAGTTTATAATATGCTGAGAGCTAACACTTTAAAGTTTGGGCTATTCAGACAGCCCCAAATCTTCATGAGGCTATGATACCTGAAGGAACACAGTAGACTTGTCAAGCATTTGTTTACCCTTCCTCTAAACATGGTCACTGGGAGGCTGGTCATATTACTTGGACTCTTTTTGGAGATGCTCAGCAAAGTTTGTTTCCTATACAGAAGCAAACTATCTGGTCATCACAAAACGATGTTCAGCTTTTTATCTGACAACCATGGGTGTGAATCCACATGCGATACAATATAATGCTACTTCTTTATTCTCTTTCGGAGAAAAAAAGTCCTCAGTTAATGTGATTGAACTGGTCTACGAGTGGCTTATAGTTATGGACTCAATACTTTATACTGCACAGAAGAGGCCTTTAATGCCTCTGTTTTCTGTCCATTCCTCCCTCACATCTCTAACTTCAGTTGTCTGTTATCCTGTTTAGGAATTCAGTCATGCTGACATGGTATCAGCATTATTGAATGATGGCATAGTATCTGCATCCTGCAGTGAGGAGGGTAACGAGAGGGTCACTGTAAAAACTATATTGTCTTCTAGATCAGTGATGTATGTGTCTATTCTTTCCTTGGAAGCACACAGAAATCGTGTATTCAGTCCCTTTGAACAGAAAATGAAAGGTGACATTGGAAGTAGAGGCTGCTAACGTGAACCTCTTGTGTCATATTGGCATTCAAAACCATTTAACAATAATGTAAGCATGCTTATTCTTCTTTAATTGACTTTCTTTATTCTTTAATGTGCCGTATTTACTCTTTGATCTGCAGACATACCCTTGAAGCATTGCAGTGTTGATGCCTTTCCACAGCTGCTACAGGTTCAGTACCAAGACTGCTGCCATGGTCTTCAGAATCTGTCACTGCTATCTTTGGGATGCCTCCAGCTGTTGTAACTTGAATGTATGTCTATTGGTTTGAAATAGTCTTAAATTTGGCAGGTGGCATTTACTTCTTACCAGAAAAAAAAAAAAAACACCCCCAAAAAGTCTCTCTTCCTTCTGCAGGTTTAGTAAGTAGCACATGTACTTTAGCCAAGTGTAATTTATGATTAATTTAATCTGCCATAATGACATAAAGTGAGCCTGAAACAAGCTTCTATCAATTTCGCTGTTAGAGGTAACATAATATTTTTAAATGTCTACCAAACTGAATAATTAACCCTGGGGCTGAGTGAAGAAATCTAATAGATACCTCTCTCACATTCCTTTGCTTTGATAAAATGAAAATAAAACATGGGATCCCAAGGATTAAAAATAAGTGACAGTTTACAGTACATAAAACTGGTTTTATAAGCGAAGTTCAGAAACACCCTTGAGTTGCTGCTATTTCCTTTCAGGCTGCCAATATTTTCTCCAATGAGACATCTGATTCACACTACAGCTTTGCTGACAGCGTTGGCACAAAGAGGACATCTATGTATTAATTATCTATCCCCTTAGTTCATTGCTTTTCTTCTCTACTTTGCAGCTTTACAGTAAATGGGTGGTTTTTGTTTAAATAGCAGCTCAGTGCATGAGATCAGTGTGATTAAAAGTTTTTGAAAGAGCAGATGCACTTTCCAAAATAAGTATTAAAAAAAAATGTTTATGCAAGATTCTGGCTCTGGAACTTTAAGTTGCATTGTTACTTACTTCATGTTTTGTTTTGTAAATACAAAAGTTGATAGTTGAGATTGGCAAGATATGTAAGGGAAGACCTGATAGATTCTTGTAAAGAAAGCATTAAACAGATGTCAGTGTTCTGTTAACACACACATTAAAGGATATTAAATTTGGAAAGCAGTACTGTTTCCTGTGGCCTAGGCCTACAGATTTCAAAATCCCCAATGACATTTGCTTTTAATAAATTAAAATAAACTCTACTGAGAGAAAATCATAAGTGTTGTGGTAGAAGCTGGGCAGGTAAATACAAGGCTGGGTATGCAGAATGCCACAGAAAGCCATCTGTCATGAGACAAACAGAGACACATACTTATGGGCAGAACTTGATCTTACAGAGCAGACAAATATGCAATGAAAGACCTGACATAATGATAGCTTAAAGTGTTTGATTAGAGGCAAGGTGCTCTCAAACCATGAGAGGCTGCTGAGGATGCAGCTAACACTGGTGATTGTGGTGAGATTGCACTTGATGGGCCTTTGACAACATAATCTCTCTCATCATTAATTCAGATGCCATTGAAAAATACTAGGTCTGTGGTTTCCAGCTCTTTCTGAACTGAGGTGATAAAAGTGGCTTTCAGCTTTATGTAGGTACTCTTAGAAAAAAATTATTAATAGGACGGGTGGATGAATCAATACTTTCAGGAGCATCTTTCCTGCTTGGCCATCCTCTTTCTGCAACTTGGCTGGTATTCTTAACTGAAGGTAACTTGTTCATAACCTCCTTTACAGGATTCAGCTGCTACATTTAGTCCTCTGTGCTGGACATAACACCTTGCAGGACCTTATCATTACAACTATATAATCAGTTCTGACCCATGACCTCAATGAGAATTACTCAAGAACCTCTGGAAGTGCAAGTTTTGCTCTTCAGTACCAGCAGTTGAGTTATAGTAGTAAGAAATGAGCTATTTGTTGCAGGTGGCTAGTAATAAAATATTGCCTTTCATCAAGAGATTTACCTTTTGGTTAAACAAAGGTTAATGCTTCTGAGCAGTATACTTAATATTCTTACAGGGTGAATATCAGCACACTGACTCTTTGCCAAGTCACAGTGAGATCAATATATATGATTTTGGAGTGATTAGTTTTCTTTTGGTGACACGTAGATAAAAATTGGTACTATGTAAGATGATGACAAATCTACCCTCCAATCAGGAATTTAATCAGTGGAATTAGATCTCAGTCTCATAAAACAATGCACATTTGCCTACATGTTCTAATTTGTTGGATAATACTGTTATTTATATTCTGATGGTACCTGCAGACTACCCCTCATGGAAATTGTGGCCTACTAAGCATCGTACAATCCTTTGTGATCATTCTTCATGAATCATAATTCTTGTGTGAATATGCACACCTAAAAGCTATGCAGAATTCAAGGTGATTTTTTAACTCAGCCAAAACCTGGCTGGTACTTTTTGACATTAGCCAAGAATTTAAAAGACTGTCATGTGAAAATGAGTCATTTTTTTTTGTTTTACTGAGAATTGCAGGTCAAGAATACAAAGCTGGTTATGTTCCATTTACACCATGTCTTAAAAGTGAGCGACTTCAATTTAAGTAAGCTACTTATATGCTACACTCATTATTTGAGTGTCAAAACATCTTTATAGTTTTTTAGTATAATGGTTTCCATTTAATTGATGTGAATAACGTAGGAATTACAGGTATCTCCATTTTACAGAGGAAGATGGAGGGCAAAGAAAGACTGAAATCCACACCATCAGAAATGCTTAACACCTAATTTTTTTTAAAATCTGTGATTAGGCCAAGCTCCTCAAATTCATTAAAGTCCTGCCAGGTAGACTGCTCTTAGACTGGTGAAAAGCACTTTAATGGAACCTGTATTTGAGGGAAAATAACAAAAGGTAAACTTGACAAAGCTTTAGGCTTCTGGTCCTTAGACTTCTGATGTCCTGCCTAGTGACTGTCCATGGCCCTCAGATGTGTCAGCACCCACACAGCAGACCCAAAGCTTGATCACGATGTCAGTATGTATAGCTGTATAGTTATATAGTATATATAGGCTCTATAGTATATATAGGCTGACAACTTCAGATTTCTAAGTATCTTTATTCTCTCAGATTTGCTCCTGCTTTCTCAGTGGAAAGCCTGGGAACCCTTCAAATTTCTAAGGTTCCTTCCTGGTTGCTCTGGACACTGAGATATACACTTTGGGTTTAATTTTTATTACTTTTATTTTTTTTCTTGTTTGTTATTTAAG